CAAAAAAAAAAAAAAAAAAAATTTCGTTGAACGAAATACTTAATCTTTGAGTAATAATTTTTTTAATAATTATTCTTTTCAATAATTTTAATATTCCCTCTATGTTAGAATTACACTTTGATATTCTATTATTTTTATTTTTATATATTTTGAAAATAATAACTATTAAATTTTATTTTTAAATACGAGAATTTCCCCGGTAAGAAAAATCAGTGCACGGTGCTCAATGATTCATGACTATCATAGTAAACTCGTATCGCACAGAGCCTTTAAGGATTCGAGAGGAAACGAGGAGGATCCGTCGCGGCGTACGTGCATTCACAGCTGAATTAGCCGCATCATTGTCTGAATGAGAAAAGAGACAGAGAAATATCAAGTGAATGTAAATACGGTAAAAATCCATGCGTCATCCGGTCAAGAATGATCGTCGATACTTCCGAGGGCAACTAACGATGCATTCGATGTTCTATTCTGTTAAAATAATCTTTAGCTTCAAAATTATCTTTTAAAGATAAAATAATTATATAAACTTTATACAAAAGTTTCTTTTTATATAGACCGAAAGAAGTATTTAGAATTCCAATTTACTTTCTTCTTCTTACAAGGAAAGATAAATAAATTTCTCTAGAGCGATTTTGATATTTGTCCAACGTAATATTCGCTATTCCATCGAACCTTTATAACGCGGAAGGCCAAGCAAGCCTTCTTGATAACTTTCTCCCATTGAGAAGTCGGCCATACACGGGCAAGGAATCTATCGATAGTCGTGGTTCAGATTCATTACTGAATTCCCTCGCGTATTCTTCTAAATTAGCTCTCCACCAATTAAACGGATACCGTTTCGATCGTATCTAAATCCACCGGAAGTTATAGATCGGCCTTTTAGATTCGATTCTGGCGAACTACTTTCCCTGTTTGTAGAATTTTTATCTTATTCTTTTTTTAGATATAAATTGTTTAATGTAATTATAAAAAAATATATTTGAAAATATTTCTATCACTTTCATAATTTTATTAATACTATTATCTGATATAAGAATCTTATTATCTGGAAACTTATTATCGAAAATTACAACCGATTCAATTTCTAAATATACGTATCTTATTTTTAATTTTGAAAGATAAATTTAAAAATTGCCATCTCTGTATTCTGATATATATTATTCAAATTCGATCGATACATTATTCATTCGAATTATTATTCATTCGTATTTAATTAAACCACCTGCAGCGAGAATACCTTTCGTGCAAAATGCATCTATGCAGCTTTCCTTTTCTATCTTCCTCGAAAATTACAAAGTCGTCGACGTGATGCGATTCGTCCTGGCTACCGTACTTACTTTGTATATACGGAAGAGCTTTTATTATCTTTGCGGTGTTGGACCGAAATGGGGTAGCTTATCGTCATTAAGACCACCTGGCGCAACAAACATAATGAATATTCCGCAAACGTATGCAGGAGAATGAGAAATCTCGCGTAATAAGTTTGACAAATTAATTTCATCTATTTTCGAGATTCATCGATAGTTTTTACCTGTCGATTTTTCGTTTTACGTTGATGATGGTATTTCGTATTTGAATTTGCAAGATAAACATATATACATTTGAAATATTCTCAATTTTTATTATTTTCTTCTTTTGTAGAATCAGCCTCACGTATCCAATGTTGCATTCTACATCAACTATTTCTGCAATAATTTTTTAAGAAAGTATTTAAAATATTCGAATTAAAAATATTTTAAAAAAAAGAATCTTAAAAAGTCTCTTAACCTCAATTTTCGAGAGCGTATCGACAACGCCATTGAACACCACTCACCGTGCAATTTTCCAATTTCTTTTCACTCATATTCTACGACACATTAATTTACGATGATTAACAAGCACATGATGTAGCATCTGAACACATAGTTCGACAGGTCAGCTTCTATAACAGTTTCCTCTTAAAGATATTTCGTACCTCATTCGAGAATAATTTCCAAAGGGTTTTGTGAGGTTGTACATGCAATTATCCAAGATTAACAGAATCGTACACAGAGGAATTCTCGTTGGATCGTAACGGTATATACCAACCGCATTCGATGATAACCTTCAGCATGATGATGTTGGAAAGGAACCATTTTTTTTCACGTTAAACGAAAATTGCAAACATTCTCGATGGATAAAGTCGTCAGTCGAATAACCATTCGTAATTAACCTCAATTAGACGCGGGTTGAGTGATCCAGATGAAACAGATGGCTACTTGATAATTGCATCTTTTGATCGATTGATTCCTTACACTTTTTTTCTTCTCACCTTTTTTGTATAAAGAACGATGATCTTTGAAATAATGACATCAATTATCGCAATTAAAGCCGATGATTGAATTTCGTGGAAGATATCCATAGAAGTTGTGTAATTTTGACGAAAAAACAAATTTTTCGTCGAGAATTATTCTTTCATCCTTTGTCCATTGAAACTCGATTAAAAGTTCAAAGTTTAGAGAATAATTTTTGATAATTCTCAAATGAATCCACATAGATCTTATAACTTCAACTATAATATTTAAAATTTTCGTAACCAAAAATATTACGAAACCCATGCTCACTTCTCACATTTCGATGGTAATAAATATAACGTGGCACCACCTACCTGCTATATGTTTTACTATTCTTTTTGTTTCTCCCCCACTCCTATTCTATTCTCCTAATCTATTATACTGCCATATTTAGTCTTTTCATAGACGAATCATGATCACGTGTGAAATAGAGAATTATATTCTTGTATTATTCATTTTATTACAATATTATAACGATATTAAATTATTGAAATAGTTATATTTTTCATAAATTTTATCAACTTACATTAATACTCTCATTTCTTTTTCCAGGTTTCACAGGCACCCAGTGCGAGATCGACATTGATGAGTGCGCGGAAAGACCGTGTCTAAATGGAGGCGTTTGCACCGATTTGATCAACTCCTTCAAATGCACCTGTGCGAACGGTTTCGCTGGTTCTCACTGTCAGATCAATATAGACGACTGCGCCTCCTCGCCATGCAAGAACGGCGGTATCTGCCAGGACTCGATAGCCAAGTACACGTGCGACTGTCCACCAGGATTCACCGGAGCCTCCTGCGAGACGAACATCAACGACTGCCAATCGAATCCCTGCCACAGTGGCACCTGCATCGATGGAGAGAACAGCTTCAGCTGCAATTGCTTTCCAGGATTCACCGGGAAGCTGTGCCAGACGCAGATCGACGAGTGCGAGAGCAACCCTTGCCAGTTTGGAGGAAGGTGCGAAGACCGTATTAACGGGTACCAATGTATTTGTAGACCTGGAACGTCTGGGACGAACTGCGAGGTGAACGTGAACGAATGTTATAGCAATCCATGTAGAAATGGAGCAAGGTGCATCGATGGTATCAATAGGTGAGTTTGCGGTTAGTCGATTGATCCTTATGTCAATGCCCACGATTCTCACGACATCGTTTGATCTCTCATTTTGGTAATAAAATTCCAAATTTGAGAAGTTGAAAAGTAAGGAAGAGTTGGATTAATTAAGAAATTTTAGAAAAATTTCATTTTCTAACCGGTTATTGACATAAGGGTTAAGGGGTTTGTTTTCGAGGCTTTCCATTTTAACGAGATCTAAATACGGAATTGTAAATGGTCGATGCATGGTATTGCTTAAAAGCTTTCTCACTTCGTGAGATTAGAATTTTAATGTATCCTGAGCGAATGAAAATAACGTTGAATTTAACTCCTATAGGAGTTCACAACAGCCCTAACAAACTGCTCACGCATGAATACCCAACGCAGCAAAATCTAGCTTTGTCTTTATCCTTGCGATCGCTTATTATCCTCTTACGAGTTACGTATCTTCTTCCAGATATTCGTGCGAGTGCGAGCCAGGTTTTACCGGGCAACACTGCGAAACGGACATCAACGAATGCGCCAGCAATCCTTGCGCTAATGGCGGCCGTTGCATAGATTTGATAAATGGATTCCGGTGCGAATGTCCTCGTGGTTATTACGATGCTAGATGCTTGAGCGACGTGGACGAGTGTGCGAGCAATCCTTGCGTGAACGGTGGCACCTGCGAGGATGGCGTGAACCAATTTATCTGCCACTGTTTGCCCGGTTACGGTGGGAAGAGATGCGAGGCAGATATCGACGAGTGCGGCTCGAATCCTTGTCAACATGGCGGCACTTGCAACGATCATTTGAATGGATACAGCTGCAAGTGTCTCGCTGGGTACGCTGGTACCAATTGCGAGACAAACATCGACGATTGCGCGAACAATCCTTGCCAGAATGGCGGTTCCTGCATCGACCTGGTCAATGATTACAAATGTGTCTGCGAACTTCCTCATACGGGAAGGAATTGCGAGGATAAGCTAGATCCTTGTTCGCCTAACAAGTATGAATTTCGATGTGTTTTTAGCGTTCGATAAAATTTTTGAAGAAATGTTAATAATAATAAATGTTCTTTTCTCTTACAGATGTCTTCATGGCGCCAAGTGTTCACCATCCTCGAACTTTCTCGATTTCGCCTGCACTTGTACGGTCGGTTACACTGGCAGACTCTGCGATGAGGACGTCGACGAGTGTGTAATGACGTCTCCGTGCAGAAACGGTGCTACTTGCAGAAACACCAATGGCTCCTATCAATGCCTTTGCGCAAAAGGATACGAAGGTCGGGATTGTATCATTAACACCGACGATTGCGCTTCTTGTAAGTACCATACATCAAAATTATTTCATTTCATCATATACAAGTGTAATTAACACGTGTGATTTTACAATTCACAGTTCCATGTCAAAATGGTGGCACTTGCTTGGACGGTATTGGCGACTACACTTGCCTCTGTGTGGACGGTTTCAGCGGGAAACATTGCGAAATCGACGTGGACGAATGTTTATCACAACCGTGTCAAAATGGTGCTATCTGTAAAGAATACGTAAACTCGTATACCTGCCAATGTCAACTCGGATTTTCCGGTATAAATTGTCAAACCAATGACGAGGATTGTACCGACAGTAGTTGCATGAATGGTGGTAAATGCATAGACGGTATCAACAATTATACTTGCGTTTGCAAACCTGGCTACACCGGTTCAAATTGTCAGTATCGTATCAATGAATGCGACAGTTTGCCCTGCCTCAATGGTGCTACTTGTCATGATCATGTTCAATATTATACTTGTCACTGTCCTTACGGTTATACTGGAGCTAGATGCGATCAATACGTCGACTGGTGTGCGGATAATCCTTGCGAAAATGGAGCTACTTGTATTCAGAAGAAAAACAAGTATCAATGTAATTGTTCTCCTGGTTGGACCGGTAAAGTCTGCGATGTCGAAATGGTTTCTTGTAAAGATGCGGCCATAAGGAAGGGAGTACCCGAGAAGAATCTTTGTAACAATGGCACTTGCGAGGACATAGGTAACAGCCACCGTTGTCATTGTCTAGAAGGATACACAGGCTCTTATTGTCAAGAAGAAGTAAACGAGTGCGATTCTGCTCCTTGTCAAAATGGAGCTACTTGCAAGGATCTTATTGGATCTTATCAATGCCAGTGTACCAAAGGTTTCCAAGGACAGAATTGCGAGCTTAACGTGGATGATTGCAAACCTAATCCTTGCCAGAATGGCGGTACGTGTCACGATCTTATCAGCAACTTTAGCTGCTCTTGTCCTCCTGGAACCTTGGGTTTCATATGCGAGCTCAACGTAGATGATTGTACTGTCGGCGCTTGTCATAATAATGGAACGTGTACCGATAAGGTTGGCGGATTCGAATGCAAATGTCCTCCAGGATTCGTAGGACCTAAATGCGAAGGCGACATCAACGAGTGTTTGTCCAATCCTTGTGCCTCGCCAGGAACTCAAGATTGCGTGCAATTGATCAACAATTATCATTGCAATTGCAAACCTGGCTACATGGGACGACACTGCGAGGTAAAAGTAAATTTCTGTGACAGCTCACCGTGCCAGAATGGAGGTGTTTGTACTGCAAAACAAGCTGGACACACTTGCCTTTGTCCTAACGATTATTATGGAAACAACTGCGAATTCGCTGGTTCTTATTGCGATAGAGAACCTTGCTTGAATGGCGGTACTTGCAGAGTGGCTGAAACAGAAGTTGGATATAGATGTTACTGCCCTCTTGGAACAACAGGAACGCATTGTGAAATAGATGCCAGAGATGAATGTGCTAGTAATCCATGCCAACAATCCAATGCAGTTTGCAAAAATCTTCTTGGCGATTATGCTTGTGATTGCCCACCAAAATGGACCGGTAAAAACTGCGAAATTTATGACCCTACTTACAGAGGAGGTATTTTTGGTAGTTCCAACTCCAATATCCAAAAAACTATGAATGCGTACGATCTTGATTTAGAGTTAGAAAGAAAGAAGTGCATTGAGAATAGATGCGAAGAAAAATCTGGTAATCATCATTGTGATGAAGAATGTAACAGATATGCTTGCAATTTTGATGGAAACGATTGTTCATTGGGCATCAATCCATGGCGTAATTGCACTGCTCCGATTAATTGTTGGGACGTTTTCATGAACGATATCTGCGACGAGGTTTGCAATAATCCTCAGTGTCTATTCGATGGAAGAGATTGTGAAGAAAAATTGGCACCATGCAAGTAAGTAATTGCGATATAGATGAAATATAAATAACATCATAAATAACATCAACTAATTCAATTCTTTAATAATAACGATCTTTATTTTTACAGCCCTATTTATGACGCCTATTGTCGCAAACATTACGCCGACGGATTCTGCAATTACGGTTGCGACAATGAAGAATGTAATTGGGATGGTCTCGATTGTGATACGAAACCACCATCGTTGGCAGAAGGTGTGATTTCAGTGGTAGTAAGGATGGACATGTTAACATTCCGTTCCAACGTGGTCGCTTTCCTAAGAGACATTGGTCACGAATTAAGAACGACGTTAAGAGTAAAGCAAGATGAACTTGGCAACGATATGATATATCCATGGAGAAGGGAACGAGATCCAGGATTACAGACTAGCATTTTTGGTCGGCCGACCACGATCTACACTCAAAGCGGTGTGATAGCCTATTTGGAGATCGACAATAGAAAATGTACCGTCACTCAAGGAGCAGTATGTTTCCCATCAGCAAACGAGGCAGCGGAATATTTAGCAGCTACCGCATCCAAACATTCTTTGTCTCGAAACTTCCCCATCGAGCAAGTTCGTGGTGTGGTTGGGCCTCAGGGTCCAGAGTATCCGGACACTCCAACGAACTACAAATACGTCTTCATCGGTGTCGTTATCGTGGTACTTGGAGGGATGTTGGTCGGTGTTCTGGTCACAGCGCAAAGAAAACGAGCAGTGGGTGTCACCTGGTTCCCAGAAGGATTCTTGCGCACGAGCAGCGGAAGTGGGCAGCGCCGAAGATCGAGAAGACGAGGTCCGGATGGCCAAGAAATGAGGAACTTGAACAAGCAACCTTCGGTGAACTGCATGGATCTCGATGTTGGAAATGGAAGAGCTCAACAGTGGTCAGACGATGAATCAGATTTACCACCTTCGAAAAGAATGAGAGCTATAGAGCCCGGATACGCTAGCGATCACACCGCCATTACCGATTACGAGGAAACGGAGCCTCGAATGTGGACTCAACAACATTTAGATGCCGCAGAGATTCGTAGGCCGGATGCTGGAGTTTTAACACCGCCTAGTCTCGAGCATGGCCAAGACGTGGACGCCAGAGGACCCTGTGGGATGACGCCATTGATGGTAGCAGCTGTACGAGGTGGAGGATTGGACACCGGAGAAGAGGAAGACGAAAGTGACGGCACAGCCGCTGTGATCGCTGATCTAGTTGCCCAGGGAGCAGACTTGAACGCCACCACGGATAAGAGTGGCGAGACTTCGCTTCATCTGGCTGCAAGGTATGCCAGAGCTGACGCAGCTAAGAGGCTGCTGGACGCTGGAGCAGATGCCAACTCTCAAGACAATACTGGTCGAACTCCTCTTCACTCTGCCGTCGCTGCTGACGCGATGGGAGTCTTCCAAATACTCTTAAGGAACAGAGCTACGAATCTGAACGCGCGCATGCACGATGGAACGACTCCACTGATTTTGGCTGCTCGCCTGGCTACCGAGGGAATGGTGGAAGATCTAATTAATGCGGACGCTGATATCAACGCAGCCGACAACAGCGGTAAAACGGCCCTTCACTGGGCCGCCGCTGTTAACAATGTCGATGCCGTGAACATACTTTTGGTTCATGGCGCAAATAGAGATGCCCAGGATGACAAGGACGAAACACCATTGTTCCTCGCCGCCAGAGAAGGAAGTTTCGAAGCGTGTAAAGCGTTGCTCGATACGTTCGCCAATAGGGAGATCACCGATCACATGGATCGATTACCGAGAGACGTTGCCAGTGAGAGATTGCATCATGACATCGTGAGATTGTTGGACGAGCACGTGCCCAGATCACCACAGATGGTGAATGTGATACCAAATGGTCCTCTTATGGGTAAGTGTGTTTTTATTTTTTTATTTTACTCTGTGAACCTCTGTGGTATATAGAAAAAATTGGGTGATATTAAAATTTTATTTCTCTGTCGTAGGATCTCCAAATCATCCACAACTCATCACACATCCCACAGTGATCGGTTCCGCTCCGAAACAAGCAAAGTCGAAGAAGCGGCCAAAAGCGGGATCGACGGGGAATCCAAACAGTCCCGAGTCAGAGGGCGGAGTAGTGGTGGTGAGGCGAAAACCTTCTGTAAAAAAGCCACCGGCGAAGCGCGGAGCCCAGCCCCCAAACCAGGAGATTCCTCAGGGAGCGGAGGGCGCAGAGGGAAACTTGCCAAGCCCCTACGACAGCGCAAGCTTGTACAGCAACGCGATTCCGTTGGTGGGCCACACGGCAACGGCGAAACAACCGCCACCGTATGAGGATTGCATAAAGGGCCAATCCATGCAAGGCCTTCAACAATTAGGCCTGGACACGTTCACAACAAATTATGGTTTGCCTAATTTTCACGACCAATTATTAGCATCTCATCAACGACAAGCCCAAGGAATGGTGAACACGTTGTCGCCGCCCTATAGCAATCAATCACCGCCACACTCGGTGCAATCGAACATGACCCTGTCGCCACAGGCGAGCTATATGGGCTCGCCGTCTCCGGCGAAAAGTAGGCCGTCGTTGCCCACTTCACCCACCCACATCGCCGCCATGAGACAGGCGACGCATCAAAAGCACGGCGGCATGCCACCGGTGGGATTCGATTTTGAGAAGCTCCCCTACTCGTCGAGCCAGCAGCAACAGCAGCAGCAACAACAACAGCAGCAGCAGCAGCAACAGCAGCAAATGCAACAAACGCAACAACAAATCCAGCAGCAGCAGCAGCAGCAACAGCAGCAGCAACAGCAGCAGCAAAGCACGCAACAACAACAGCAGGCGCAACAGCAGCAAGCGCAACAACAGACGCAGCAATACTATCAGTATTTGACGCCGCCCTCCCATCATTCCGGACCGGATGTGACGCCACAGCATTTGATGCAAG